TCCTTTCTATAGTTGGAGATTTCTTCTTTCGGTATATGTTGGACCAAAACGATGAGCAAGCTGGCAAAATGAAATCTAGGAGTGAACATTTTATACATTGTCTTTCGACCACATGCAATCAAACTCTTCGTTTCAGCTACGGTTTATTCTAAAAAAAAAAAACGTTTGAGAAAGATACAAATACAAATGCTGTGGAAATGATCTGTGATTTTCGTTATAAGAAAGTGCTTTGAATCTGACGTGACTGGGGAATTCGTACCACTGACTATATCAATTAATTTAATTAACTGAGTTTATTGACTGACTTTATACACAAACTCCCTTGACTGATTTTACTTACTGTCTTTATTCAGTGACTTCGTTGACAGACTTTAATGACTAACTTCGTTGACTAACTTTATATAATGATTTAATTGACTGAATTCACTGACTGATTTTATAAAATGACTATTGAATGCCTTCATTAACGGTCTTCTCTGACTGGTTTTATATGCTGACTTCATTCATTGACTTTGTAGATTGACTTTATATACAGACTCCATTGATTGATTTTATGAAATGACTATTGACTGACTTCATTACCTGACTACATTGACTAATTTTATAAAATGACTATTGACTGACTTCACTGGCTGATTTTTATAGAATGACTATTGACTGACTTCATTGATTTTATAAAATGCTTTTGGCTGATTTCATTGACTGATTTAATAAAATGACTATTGACTGACTTCACTGATTTTATAAATTGCTTTTGGCTGACTTCACTGACTGATGTTACAAAATATCTATTAACTGACTTCACTGACTGATTTTATAAAATGCTATTGGCTGACTTCATTGGCTGATTTAATAAGATGAGTATTGACTGACTGACTGACACACCTTTCACCGTCGCCTTCCGTCTGAATGCTGGGCAGCGACAGCGTGATGTTGGTGTCGGTTTTGGCCAGCACGCCCAGGGCCCCTTCGAAACTGGGCGGGATGGGCAGTGTGGCCACGTCCTGCTCTAAGCTCGGTCCGCATCCTGCTGAATTGCAGAAGGAACCACTTGCAGTGTAAATCTTCCCTCGTTCCAGATTCTGCAACTGCACGGCGAACAGGATGTCGTATTAATGTAACTGATATTCAGATGCCAACTAGGCCTCCAGTACCTCCGTCGACCTACTGTGACCTTGAGTTTTCTGAATGGAATGGAATGCGGAAGGTACAGTCCCATTTTTTCATTAGAAAGGATAATTGGCCATGACATTAATAACCGATTAAATTGTCAAATGTCACTGGCTGTGCGGTAAGTCTGTTTTTTTTTTCACAGTACATATTCAAACAGCGCATCTTACTCTTATATACTGTTTTTAGGGGTAAGTGGATTCATTCTTTATAATAGAGGGACAGCAACGTTACGTAGAGCTAATACCAGAGAAAAAAAAACAGGACACCCCACCAAACTTTCTGCCTTTTCCAGTCCAGAGCTGCGCGTCATACCTTACATTGAACAGGGCCAAATGACTCTCTCGTGATATTGCCCCTACATGAGGGCTGTCCATCTGCCAGTCTTGTGGTGAAGTTCAGCAGAAGGCCACCGGGCGCCACGGGGAATTGGAGGAGCACCTCGATGGAGGAAACTCCTGGTATGGTCAACATACCAGATGGTGGTCCGGGTTCTGGAGGAGCAAACTGTACGTCAATCTCCTCTTTGATTCAGTCTAAATGTCTGTGTTTCTGTATATCTCACCAGCTCGTTCAGATACACGCACACACATGATATATATATATATATATATATATATATATATATATATATATATATATATATATATATATATATATAAATAGATAAATAGATATATATAAATAGATAAATATATATATATATATATAAATAGATAAATAGATATATATAAATAGATAAATATATATATATATATATATATATATATATATATATATATATATATATATATATATGTGTGTGTGTGTGTGTGTGTGTGTGTGTGTGTGTGTGTGTGTGTGTGTGTGTGTGTGTATGCATGTATATATGGATGTATAATATATATATATATATACATATATATATATATATATATATATATATATATATATATATATACTTACACATACATATGTAACACATACATACTTACACATACATATGTACCTGAATCTATATAAATAGGTAGATATAGACACATATCTAGATAGACAGGAAGATGTACATCTATATATTTCCTTCCTGTACTTCTATGCAAACACCATGAAAATCTCTGAAGAAAGGTCATACGACTGAAGCAATTGCTATAACTTACTGGCCTCGATGGTTGAAACACTGATTTTTTCAATGTAGCCTAGTCCAAGACTATTAACAGCTGCGACCTGAAATTCAGTGATAATAAAGTGATGATGATGGTGATGGTAATACTAATACTAATACTAATAACAACAATGATAATACTAGTATCAATGATATTAACAATACCAATTACAACAATAATTATAACAACTACAGCAATAATAATATTAAATATAATAAGTGTTAGTATCAATGATAGTAATAATAATAAAAAATGTGACATCAAAACCACAAAAACAATCAATAATAATAATAATGATAATAATAATAACAACAACAATAATAATTTAAAAAACATAAAAACAGCGCCGATATTGGCAGTGGCGGCAGCAGCAGCGAAAAGGACTAGGAAATCGTTCGGGGAATCCACGCCGTAGTGTTCAGCAGGGATTCAGGGGACAACAAACAATTGGCCCAAGAAGCACTATCACACTAGCAATTTTCCGTCATCTTCTAGCGCCCCGCAAGAAGAGTTATAACATTTAAATTATTAAATTCCCGGTTTGATCTTATGTTATGAGAATCCGTATTACTTTCCATAATTATATACTTAGTGATACTCTGATAAGGATGGGCATGCTCGTGTGATTTCTGGGATCTAACTTGTAGCAATCTAGGTTATTATGATAAATGGCTTGCTTTCCTGTCGGTACTTCATGGGTGAATCTGCCTGATTTATTTATCATTCCATTCATTCACTTTTTTTTTTTACTTTTCATTTCATTCTTTAAGAGGGTTCGAGAGTAGTACCCGTGCTTGTGGAATGTTTGTTCGCATTGGAGCGTTAGTTCTTTGCTAGTCCGAGGGTGTTGGGTTATTTTCAGTTACAAGAGTTAACATGGGGAAAGTGCTAGTGTTCATATGACCTCAAAAAAAACTTTAATCAAATTAAGAGCACTTCTGTGCATTAATTATTAAGACGAAGCAAATATAAATTATTTGAAGACAAGAAAATTCTTGAAATCAGAAATGAAATCAATGACCAACAACATAACACAACATAAATAAAACTAGTTCAGTTCCATTATACTTAGAGACCATCATTTACGCCATAACAAAAGGCTTAGAGTCCATCTTTATTACCATAACAATAGCATGAGCATCACAATAAAAGACTCATTAGATGTTTAGAGGCTATCATCAACTTTTATGTATTGGCATTAGCACTAAAAATACCACAAGGCACTTGGGTACCATCATCAACACTCTAAGACTACAACACTACATCCATGATTAGCAATGTAACAGAATCACAAGACACTTCGAGACCAGCATTAACATTAATACAGAATCTCAATTCACTGTACTGCGAGACTCAGGGAGGTTGCACAGAAGGGTAAATCCACAGTGATACTAGAGAATATATAACCAGTCGCTTTCACAAGCAATCGTAGATAATGAGATTAGTCGAAGGGGATGTGTAGATACTTGGAAGGGATGCCTGTGCACATTAACGGTTATACTTATACGGGTATAGCCGAGTATATCAGCATACTGGCAGAAGCAGGGACGCGTATTCATAGATTTTTAACATCGGCGTCGTTATATACGGCATTTACTGATCTTTTGTATGACTCGCGCGGAATTAACGTTTGGCAACATTGGCTTTTCATGCAGCAATCGCCAAAGTACTGTGGGCACACGTTTTCATGTTAGATTAAGCAATTCTATTTTAATAACACATATTAAATTATATAGCATATATGAGTATCTGAAGACACTAATGTTCTCAGTAATTATCTGTCAGCACGGTACTGCTTTGTTCAAGTGACCACATTGGTGGCGACAATGATCATGTCTTTACTGACTGTTTGTTGCATACTTATTTTTTTCCACATGCAAGTAAATTAAGCTATTTACTGATGATGGCAGTACTATAAAAATATTTCCATTAAATTTAATGATTTTTAAAGAGCTTCATGCTACAAAAATATGACGTCAAGTCACATACGTATATATGTGGTGTTCTCAGACCACAAGCGTTTATTAAATATTATGTAAATATCAGCTTTCGTGTATAATATAAACATCGAGAACTGCACGTTTTTGCACTACAATCATGAAATCGAGTGCATCAACGTAGATATTTCGAAGCTCATACTGTAGGTAAGGGTTGGATTGGCAAAACATTTAAAAAAAGTAGACATTCTTCACATAACCTCCACATAACAATTTTGTAGTTACTAAGTAGGTAGTATTATCATAATAAATTATTATGAGTCTACGTAAAACATGATAAACTAGTAAGAATAAAACAAATAATTCAGATGAAGAGTTTGCTGTAAAGAAAAGGCCTGTCCTTTACAACATGTCACGCATTTACACTTAAGTTAGGTATCCTAAAATATAGTTGTGTCAAATATAAATTATATTTTATAATTATAATGACTATCGCTAATAAATCCTTGATTTTTTTCTACCTTGCAATAACACTTCCTTTTATACTGTTAGGGAACTTTGGTGAATCTTTATGTATGTTTCTCTCTCTCGAATTACTACTATAAAATTAATTGATTGACTCGTAAGTGAATTTCAACAACCAACATGAGGACCTTAGTAGAACTTGATATGAAATATAAGAGTCTGAAAAACTTTTAGCAACTTATATATGTAAATTTAACAATTTACCTAGTATATATATAACAAAGCAATACATATAATGTAAGATACAATTTATTTTACATTTCCATAGATTATAAATTTAGCTATCTTGTTTTTTCACCTTTTGAAATAGCCTTAAATTTCTGGTAACAGTCATTCTTAATCCATTTTATCAATTTTAGAATAAAGCGGAAAATATAATGTTACCGCAGCTCTATTGGACTAGTTTTACTCGTTTTGTATCAAAAAGGATATTCAATTTGACGAATCCAATATCAGGAGTGCGACCGGCCGTCGTGGTGCGAAAATAAAACGGGTGCGATTGGCCGAAGTGGAGTGAAAGAAAACGGGTTCGACCGGCCGTCCTGGAGCGAAAGAAAACGGGTTCGACCGGCCGTCGTGGAGCGAAAGAAAATGAGTTTGACCGGCCGTCGTGGAGCGAAAGAAAACAGGTTCGACCGGCCGTCGTAGAGCGAATGAAAACGGGTTTGACCGGCCGTCGTAGACCGAAAAGAAAACGGGTTCGACCGGTCGTCGTGGAGCGAAAGAAAACGGGTTTGAGCGGCCGTCGTGGTGCGAAAGAAAACGGGTTTGACCGGCCGTCGTAGACCGAAAAGAAAACGGGTTCGACCGGCCGTCGTGGAGCGAAAGAAAACGGGTTTGACCGGCCGTCGTGGAGCGAAAGAAAACGTCTTTGACCGGCCGTCGTGGAGCGAAAGAAAACGGGTTTGACCGGCCGTCGTGGAGCGAAAGAAAACGGGTTCGACCGGCCGTCGTGGAGCGAAAGAAAACGGGTTCGACCGGCCGTCGTGGAGCGAAAGAAAACGGGTTCGATCGGCCGTCGTGGAGCGAAAGAAAACGGGTGCGACCGGCCGTCGTGGAATGAAAGAAAACGGGTTTGACCGGCCGTCGTAGACCGAAAAGAAAACGGGTTCGACCGGCCGTCGTGGAGCGAAAGAAAACGGGTTCGACCGGCCGTCGTGCAGCGAAAGAAAACGGGTGCGACCGGCCGTCGTGGAATGAAAGAAAACGGGTTTGACCGGCCGTCGTAGACCGAAAAGAAAACGGGTTTGACCGGCCGTCGTGGACCGAAAGAAAACGGGTTTGACCGGCCGTCGTGGACCGAAAGAAAACGGGTTTGACCGGCCGTCGTGGACCGAAAGAAAACGTCTTTGACCGGCCGTCGTGCAGCGAAAGAAAACGGGTTCGACCGGCCGTCGTGCAGCGAAAGAAAACGGGTTCGACCGGCCGTCGTGCAGCGAAAGAAAACGGGTTCGACCGGCCGTCGTGGAGCGAAAGAAAACGGGTTCGACCGGCCGTCGTGGAGCGAAAGAAAACGGGTGCGACCGGCCGTCGTGGAGCGAGAGAAAACGGGTTCGACCGGCCGTCGTGGAGCGAAAGAAAACGGGTTCGACCGATCGTCGTGGAGCGAAAGAAAACGGGTGCGACCGGCTGTCGTAAAGCGAAAGAAAACGGGTACGCAGGAAACTGATGACGTTACCCGCGCCATTCTCTCGGCCCTCACACTGAAACTCGTATCTTGCAATGTCGATATGTGAATATGTGCTTGTATACTGTTTCAGGACTAGTTGTTTTGTTACTTTTGATTTCATCACTATTACTAAAAGCTATATAAGAATAGTGAATGAAAAACAAATGAGTAAGTTAATATGGCAATATATAGAGAGATGTATAAATATTTTGATTGAGAGAGGGAGAGAGTGTGAGAATAGAAATTTTGCTTCATATAGTACCTTATTTAATCTATTACAGTATGATGAAGACAAATTTGTGATAAATACGTCATATATGTAATATATCTTACAATTTTTACAATATGCCTTATTTAAATAAATGTGTAAGTGTACAACACAGTGTTACAGAACATCTTATGTAAATTAGGTTAAGACTTGGCAGACTGTTTCCATAACACATTTCCATAACCCATGTAAGGCATATCATATAATATAAATTTCCTCTGTGCTTTTATAAGTAGCTCATTTATTCCTATTATCGCAATATCATTTATTCAATACGTTTCGTGTGATATCTCTAATGGCAGAAACAGTGCTGGAACAGTATTAAAATTTCTTTAAAAACTATCGTGTTCAGTAAACAAAATGCAGATCACAGGACTGTCAGCAATATGAAACGATTGTTTCATATTGCCCCACCTCCGGAGAGCGTGCCTTGAGTCTTAGGTCGGAGAGAGCTCGCGGTCCACACCCAACCCCTTTCACCACCGAGGTAGGTGGCAACCACTTCGCCGAGTGCGTGGTGAAGTCGTCAGGCAGGCAGTAACGTCGGTCGTGAAAGGTTGTGAGTGTGGGCTGAGGGAGACTCTTGTGTTTTTGTAATTATTGGTGCTTTTTGTATGTTTTCTGTGTTGTATACCATGCGCTTTATTTATATTGAACTCGGCAATGATTTTGGTACACCGTATGGCAGAAAATAAAGCAGTCGAAGTCGGATACTGGTGTTTCTCTACTCCTGCAGAACTTGGAGGTGAATTTTGCCCGACTTTTCCCTCATGCCCATATTCATACCCT